CTGAGTATGCGACCAACACATAAAACATCGCATGTGAATTGTTATGTCATGCGATTAATCAAAGTAAATCGCGTGTGTTTGGTGTGTGTTTGGTGTGTTAGGCCGCAGTAAACTTGACGCAACGAGCCTTCATACGCTTGAAACGCAACATTTGTCTGCATGCGAATCGCGTTGCGACATGTGTGCGTTTGGTGTGTGTTAGGCCGCGTTAAGCTTTACGCAATCAGCCTTCATACACATGAAACGCAACATGTATTCGCATGCGAATAGCCTTGCGGACTGTATGCGTTTGATGTGCGATTGGACGCGTATTGCTTTACGCATTGTCTCCCCACACGCACGAATCGCAATATGGAATCGCATGCGTATCGCCTTGCTACACATGCGCGTATGCTTCGCGTTTCAACATACGCACGCATGAATTGCTCAAGTCGACCAAAACGACGCAAGTTTATTTCCAAATGAACATTTACAATCTGAAAATTATAAAATTTAAAAGTTTTAGCAAGGAGGGCCGATTTCCGCATTTTCATAGCCGTCGTGCGTTAGCTCTTTGCGTTACAAAAACATGCTCATTCGCACCTAACGCTAAGATTCGCACCGTTACGCGAACTAACGCGATCTAACGCGGACTTAACGCAGTCACCCGTCGTCATAGTGTGTCGTGGTCATGGCGAGCATGACCACAATGCTGAACGTCAGCGATTGTACCGACAGTGACAACATTTACTAGCTTCATATTCACTAGCAGTCCAAGGCTTTAATGAAGGTATTGACTCAAGGATCAGTCTATCACAACGATAACGGCGAAGGAAAGGAAGCCAAACTAATCTTACAATTTGTTAAAAGAAGAAGTCATATGTAATACAAAGTATTTGCTATTTATGTACTGGGCTAAATACTGGCTGAACAGCGACGCAGATCGGTCGTGCGATGATGCCGTGCGAAATCTTGCCGCCGCCGAAAAGTGCGTAACAGCACTACCTACATTTTCGTTTTTATGGCATTGTAAATTTGCATTTGATTAAGTTGGTTCACCACTTTTGGCAGGCAAAATGGACGCAGACGCGGAACACAGTGCTTTACCACACAGCATCAAGCACGCTACAAGGCGAAAGATCAATATGCTTAAACTTGCTGTCATATACTTAAGAACATTGCTGGCAGGTAGAGCCAGCGACGGATAGATTTCCCTTTTGGCCGTACGACTTGAGGGCCTTGTTCATTGGCCTTCTTCCCTATAGAGACTGTACGGCATCATTGGCCTTCTTCCCTATAGGGAATGTACGGCATCATTGGCCTTCTTCCCTATAGAGACTGTAGGGCATCATTGGCCTTCTTCCCTATAGAGACTGTACGGCAGTATCATTTTTTACCTAAGAGGTTACCTTTTTAGAGTTAGAAATAAAGGAAGAATCATTTTTTACCTAAGAGTTACAGCTTTTCAAAAAGAACTAACAGCAACTACTACTATTATAAATTTTTGGCCGATCATTGGCGAGCGCAATAATGAGCGGTAGCAACGACACCACCGCGCTGATCTTTCCCTGCCATGAGGACGATTCACTGCAAGCGGCCACATACACATCCTGAACCGCATCAGCGTGACATGTTGCTTCGGCGAAATATATCCAGTGCAGTGCTTAGGCAACCCCATCCACTGCTTGTACCGGCACATTTTCACCCCTGGTTGTTTGTCGTCGGAAACAAATGTCCTAGGATCCATTTCTAGTCGCTCACTCTCCCAATCGTCATCAAATCGACTGCGTAACTCCTGCATCAACTGGCCTATAACTGGCCTATATGCAGTTCAAGGAGCTCTGGCAGCAAACACGCAACGGCATAAACCGATGCAACATACTCGGTTGCTCGACCTAGAACGGCGAAAGAATCCAATATCATTTGCAGCGCTGAGCGCGACTGTCCTTGTTCTTGGGTTGCTACTATTATTGATGATAATATCC